GTGGATGCTGTTAGTGAGCACAGGCACTGAAGACTCAGGGAGAGGCCTGCAGCTTTTAGACCATGCCGTTGAAAATGGTGATCCTTCTCTCTCTAGAAAAGGAAGAAAGAAATGCCTTCGAAGTCAGAGAAACGGCCCAAAATGGAGGCCAAGCCTTCGAGAGTGGCAGCAAAGCGCCAGGGACGGGACAGCGAAGAAGAGGGCATGTTCCAGGTATGGAGGGCACAGCCCCCTTCCTCTTCGTGCTCCTCTTCATACCTTCCTTTCTTGGCACAGGTCTCCCCTTCGCCTCCTCTGTAGCTGCATTGGCTTCTTAGGATGCCTGCTGCTCCCCTGCTGCTCCTCTGGTGTTGTGAGCAACCCCGTGGGCTGCAGAGCAGCTCATTGTGGAGCAGGGCTCAATGCTGGCTCTGTGTTCCTGCAGATTGGGAAGCTGCGCTACGTCCGAGTGTCCTGCTTCAAGGGGAAGGTGCTGGTGGACATCAGGGAGTTCTACATGGATAAGGAGGGGGACATGAAACCGGGGAGAAAAGGTACTGCTGGCTTCTCTGCGTGGTGTCTGCAGGCTGTGCTGGGCTCTCCCAGCCTGCCTTTGGTTTTTCACTGATGGGTCACTATTCAGCTTAGACCTTTTGCTTTGAGACTTTAACAATGACTTGCCAGCTTGCCTTGAGGTTCACAGGCCCCAGACCGTTACATTGCTCTTCTCTCCTGCCAGGTGTGCTGTAGGGCTCACCAAAGATGCAGCTCCTGTGAGACAAATTGAGGAATGTTTTGATTCTTCCTATTGATTTTTGTGTTAAGGCAGATGAATTTCTTTGAGCTTGGTTTGCTCCATAACCACTAAGCACGGTTTTCCTTGCAGAAATTAATTTCCTTCAAGGAAGAAACTGCTATAAATTACTCAGAGGGTATTGCTTACCCTGGAAGTTGGGAGCAGAGCAATGAAACCTTTCTGTGCCCGTTGGGGTGGAGAGGGAAAGGAGCATTGTGGGCACCTTCCAGGCTGGAAAAACCACACTTGCAACCGAAAACAGAACATCTGTTAGCTAGAATAGAAATCAGGAGGAAATGTTTTTCATTTAATTAATGCCTCTGCTGTTTTTTCTCAGGAGTTGTTGGCCCCTGATTTTTATCTAGAGAAATTAATAAAGCTCAGCCCTCATTCTTTAACAAAGCCATAAGGAACAAGTTGATAACGTTTAGCTGGACCCCACTCTGCAATTCCATGACTGTATTTGTTTCCTGAAAGAGAGGGAAGGGAAATGAAGACTTTATCTCTACTGGTCTTAAAAATAAAAAGCCAGCTCTTTTCTAGAGTTTAAGCTATAGTCATGGTTTCTTGTTAGCAGCAGCTTTTCTAAATAGAGCTAGAGCTGGCATTTCCTTTGGGTGGTGGAAAGGACGGTTCTCTAACTGCTGGGTACAGCAAGGCTTTCCTAAAATCTCTTTCCAGCTCACGGAGGTGGGAATTTTCCCAAGGAACAGACTACAAGAGGTTGCAGAACTCCTTGAAAGGCAGCTCGATCTCCTGTTCTCACACAGTGCTTTTGTGATAGCACTGAGTACTTGCTGATATGGATGCTGAAGCACTGACACAATTGCTGTGCTCAGCAGGCTGCCCCTGTTTCTTTTCTGGGCTCAGGCTGCACCTTTTCCTTCTGTAACTCTTTCGAAGGAGCTGCTGTGGGATGCTGCTTGATGCTGGCTGCTTGCTCCCAACGCCCTTTCTGCTGTTTCCAGGCATTGCTCTGTCTGCAGAACAGTGGAACCAGCTGAAGGAGATAATTCCTGAGATTGATGCTGCAGTCAAGAAATTCTGAGATGGAGGATGTTGGACGTCTTCAATCTGTTTGGTTCCCCTGGAGTGAGCTGAGAACGATGGGGCCAAGAAATCTCACCTGGCGCTTTTCCTTGGCCACGCGGGCTTTTCTGCACTGAGGTGGTGGTAATGGAAATGGAAATGTCTCTGACACTTGTAATGAGCACGTGGAACTCGAGCCAGTGTAAGGATTTCACCCTCCTGGTCTCGGGGAGACACGAGATCCGTGCGAGTGAGGGAGCCGAGCAGCTCTGAGTGCCTGGGAGGACACAGCTGCAGCCTGGCTTTCCAGGGGGCACGGCTGCCAGTCTGCAGCTTTGGCTGCTCTGCATTTTTTCTGTCCTCCACTTGGTTGAGTGCTGAGTGAGATGGCTTATATACCTCAAGTCATCATCGTTTCTATCTTTTCCACTTGCCGTTCTGGGTATTTCAAGTATTCTCTGCGTTGTTGGGATTCCTTTCATTCTATTTTTTTTTATTCATGGAGTGAAGGAGGCTGTTACACTTCAGAGAATGGTTGGTTTGTAGAGGGTGAACGCGCACAATAAATGCATTGGCATTACAAAGAGTTGCCAGCCTGTGAAATACTGCACTTCAGCTCCTAGTTTCAGGTGTCTGCAGGTTGCAGTTCTCCTTTCAGGAGTGCTCTGTCCTGTTCTCACACATTCCCAATACTCCTGTGTAGAAGCAGTCAGATAGCAGCCTGCTCCAAGCCGTGGGAAGGAAGAATGGCAATCATTCAAAGGAACTTTGGAGGCTTATTAAAGAGGGAAATTAAAAGCCTAAGATGGCAAGCTATGGGAAGAATAGAGAGAGGGTATTTTCTGCTTGGGCTCCAAATGCTTCACACTCCAGGATCAGCTGCAGCAAGCACAGCCCTCCTCAGCAAGACTTCAACAGACTTTGCAGCAGCCTGCGTCTTCTGTCTATTTTGGGTTCTCTCCTTGCCCTGGTTTCCATAGTATCCGAGTGCTTCCTGCTCTTAAATATATCCCTGTGACACTTGCAACACCTTGGTGGAGTAGGAGGTACTGGAGCCGTTGTTCTGTAGAGGTGCTGGGCTGTGACAGCGCGGGGCTGAGTGCAGGATGTGGGGCGGAGCTGTGAATGGAAAGTAGGCTTTCCTAAAGGCTGAGTTCCGAGCTGCTGTCACTTCCAGTAGGGATAGCAGGAGGGCGTGAGGGGAGGAAAACCATCAGACCATCTCAACTGAGTGAAGGGCTCAGGGGTGTGAGGGTGGGCAGCTCAGTGACTGCTGCCTTCCCCCTCGTCCTGTGCTCACACAGCAAAGTGCTGCGGCCCTCTGGCCGGTGAGAGCCTGGGTGTGCTGCTGTGCTGTGTCACACAGCTGTGCTGCTCGCGCTGCTCTTGGAAGTGTGGCAGTCCTTGGGCTGAGAGCTCTTGGCTGCGTGTGATTGTGCAGAGGTTGTGCTGCTGCTCACCTCGGGTCATCCGACAGCGAGTGCAGGGCTGTCGGTCCTGATGGCCGTTCCTCAGTACAAAGATGAAGCTTTGTGTGTGGGCAGGGCTGCAATTACTGCTGTCCAAGCCCCTCTCCTGCTTCCTTGGCAGAAAAGCTCTGCTGGTTATGAAGGCTTGCTGGGTGCTCCTGTGTGTGCCAAAGGCGTGAACCCGTGGTGCTGGGAAGGCTCGGTCGTTCTGTCCCAGCCCTGGGGAATCAGATGGAAGGTTGTAAAGCAGCCATTTCCATGCACGATGCCCAGTCGGGAGCAGAGCTGAGGGGAAGCAGAGGCCAATCCTATGAAAGCAGCTGCTTCTCGAGGGGCAGAACTGTGGGCTGGTTGGTGCTTCAGTGTCACCCCGATGTAGCAGAGATGGGAGCAGCCCAGGCCACCCAAAACGTGCTGCTTTTCCTCTGCTGCCTCACAGCATCCACCGCAGCCGGAGGAGCTGCTGGGACGGCAGCCCCCGTTGTCACATAGGGAGGCAGGTCTGAGCTCGGGGGCTGCGGCAGCCGCTCCGCTATGGCTGCGCCTCACCCGGCGCGGCCTGAGCGGGGTCTGCCGGGATCCGCAGCCGGAACGGAGCCGCGCCGCGCCGCTTCCTCCCCGAGCATCGCTCGGAGGCCATCGCCCACCGCCGCCCCGCAGCGCCTCCGTAGCGCCGTGCGCCGCCAGGGGGCGCCATAGCGCGCTCCTTTGTGGCTGCGCGGCGGCGGCGCGGGCGGCGGGGCCGTTCCCAGGCGCGCTGCCTCCCCCGTCCGCCCGCAGCCGCGCCGGGCGCGGGGCATGGCCAGACTCCGCGAGGGCGAGGCGAGGAGGCAGC